AAACGGGACGGAAAACATGAAATTTTGCAATAATCTTACGCCACCCTTGCACAAAACGACGATAATTTTTCTAATTTCATAGACAACAGAAGACTTTTTTATTTATTAGTAGAAGTATTTTTTCTACATAACCCCACCCTGAATTTAAAGCTGGATCCGCCACTGGCAGGAGGGCAAACTTATGATGGTCAATTTTCAGTCTTAACACATTATTAAAAGCAATTCCTATAAAAGGCAAAAAATAAAGAGAAAGTCTATCGCAGACCCTAAAGATCGGGCACTTGGACAAAGTCCCAATTTTCGATCTAATCCATTAGACTTAATAACCACTTGGTTATGGACGGAAACAATGGTTGTCTGACCATCTAACTGTACGACACGAATCCATCACATAAAATAGTCATCGCCATCCATAAAACAGAGCTAGCGGTACCCGAAGAACCGCTGGCAGTTCCAAAACAAAATAAAGATAGGAAAAAACGAGTTAACTGCGCCTATTTGCATAGACTGGCATACCGTTACTCTATGCAATAAGGAACTGGCCATTCGGTACTAATTGTTACAATTATGGTTTCACTAGGTCAGCAGCAGGCGATTTTAGCCGTTTATTTGGAAACGAGCATACTGACCTTGATTGCTCAAGTCTGTTATTCTTAGCGCCTTAGATGGGTCAGTGATCATCGCTCTTGATCAATTTAATTCAATTGAAAATCATCAAAATCAACTTGTTAATGATAAAAGCACTTTCTTAACTCTGGCTTTGTCTAATTTTCCTAAGTTTATCTAGCAAGCTTCCCATATAATCGCAATGAGTTATTGATCGATTTAGCTGGAGTACCATCTTCTACAGGCCTCGAACCCGAAAAATCTCCTTTCACGCACTTGTTAAACAATACGGTGTTTTTTTATGTCATTTTTCATTGTTTCTGTTTCATTTCGCATTATTTGAGGCGGTTTTTATTTGATGTTTAGAAGAAAATATGAAGTTAGCACAGAAAACCGGTGTAACTGCAATTGAAATGATGTGAAGGCGGAACAAAGAGTCTCTAGGATCAAATCAAGCAGCAAAATGTTGATGAAATGAGGAATCCATGAATTTCCAGTATTTGCGTGTTGCCTGTCCTAAATTCTCCTTAGCTTCAGTTTAATTAACGGCTCTAAAATCTACTGAAGTTTTGGATTGTTCAGAGGAAGAAATATTGTTGACCTAAAAAGAATTCGTATGTAAAAGCCAAGTTTATCAGTTGGGATATTCAGTGACCAAATTATTTAAAATGCTACTTTTATTTTGCATGTAAGTGTCTTCATTCCCTAGTTTATATCGTTTGCGTACTATAGCTTTAAACTCTTTTTCAGGTTTGCAAAGCTTCACGAGCAGCAGCAATAGGCTGAACCAGCAATGTTTTGGTAAGTCAACCAACGTCCTGTAATATTTATTGAAAGCAGGACCAAAGAAATAATGATGTGGGCGATCAGATCGAATATAACGGTATTCATAACGTATTGTGTACAAATTAAGCATAGCGAGATCCTCTTTTCGTCTTGGTCAAGGTGAAGGCGTTACCTTGAGCCTAACCGACCTACATTCGTCAGCACCAGGAAACCGTGTCTTAATGGTACGCTCTGATAACCTGAGGAATTCCTTTCTGCTGTTGGAACTTTCTTTTTGGGGTGCAGATTGGATTCAGCAAGAAAATCTCGTTGGTTGATTGGAAATGATAACAGTGCTAATTCTCATTCACGTTTCAAATGAACAGACTTTCTTTTTTAATCGATTGGTTTAGGCAAATGTGGTCGTCACATTTGGATTCTTTCAGTTATGATTCAGCTTTATTGATACAGGCAACCTACCATTTTGTAACGGTTGACACTGTTGACCTGCATTTGGGGATCGACATCAATTATTTTAATTTTTGTGCTGTTAATGACTGAATCTTATTGAAAATGTCCCCAATTATACTCGAATAGCGCCAATTAAAGCTACAGTTCAATTGGTTGTCTTGCTAGCTGACCGATCATTTTTTTCTTTGATGGTTGCACCGGGTAAACCTTATAAATAAACTACGGGAAACGTAACTGTTTGAAAATTACAGGTTGTCAGGAATTTTCAGTACCGTTCTTTGGTGCATGGAATAATTTTATGGTACTGGTGACGCTTCAATCGTGCAGTTGAAATCGTTGAGTTTTTTTGGAAAGTCGCCTTAAATCTTCGCGTGGCATTTAAATGGGGAAAAATGTGCGAAAGTTTGCAGATATGCTTTTTTATTGGCCAATAAAGCCAACAGTGTAGGCCTGGGTAACACTGTGTTGAGTTGTTGCCGCTCTCTGAGTTAACGAGTTATAACTCATCGGTTCATGAGTTATAAATGATTTATTAAGGCGTTACGAGACCCCAGACCGGAATTTGCACATTAAAAAAAAGTTTATCAACATTTTACTACTTTGTTCAGAGAACTTAAAAGTCATCTAGATTTTCCCAGCAGCAGACTGAGTCCAAAGAAAGTCGACGAATTTTCTCGTAAAATCGATCTTCGAGTTTTTTGCATAAAAGATTCAGTTTGCCAGTATTTTACAGTAAAACGTTAAGAAAACCCCTGTTTTTTTCTTTAGTGACAGTGTTGTTTAAAAATATTGACCTGAAAGTGGAGTTCGGAGAAATATTTTTGGAAAAAGACCCAGAGTTAAGTTGCAAAAAGACTTCAAACAATTTTTGCAAAGCGGTTAAGGAGGCGAGTGTTTTTCACAGAAAATATCTCAAGATTGTCAGTATTTTTACTAAATAATAATGCGACTTTTGCGTAGAAAGAATTGCATAATGGAAACTTTGTTAAAACTAGAATTACCTCAACATTTAAACAAACTTTAAATATTTTCAGAACGATGTGGCCGGCGAATTTTCCAAATAATTTCTTGTAAACTTTTGCTCCCTGACCGTTTTTTCAAGATAATCTTAATTACGTTCGGTAAAAACTGAATAAAATTATTTGGTTTCTGTGCCAAATTCGAAGCTGAAAAGGGTTTTCTAACGTTTCCTGCAAACCGATGAATAAAGCGAATTTTCTAACAAAATTAATTTTGTTATTTTTGGATGAAAAAACTCCATTATTTTCAGAAAAAAAGGAAATCAGCAGAAAATAATGGTTTTTTGCGTTTTCGAGTAAAATCTTCTAGTTTTGTGATCGGTTTTGGCGTAAACCTTAATGGTTTTCACGGGAAGAATTTCTTTTTGTTTTTGTCTCGAATCCGACGCTGAAAAAAGTGTTTGCAAAATTTTTACAAAGCTATAAATTTATCTTGTAATTTTTTGCGTAAAAGACCTCCAGATCGTCCGTATTTTTAAGTGAAACATTAGAAAAGTGAGCATTTAGAAGAAAGAGTGACTTGGCTAAAACTGGAAAAGTCTGAAATTTTGAAGAAATTTTAAAAATATTATTTGGCCCTTAAAATAAATCTAAAAACAAGTAAAAAAAGTCATCAACATTTTTCCAGCAACCGAACTGCGTTACTGCGCCGGTACGTTGAGATGGCGCACCAAGCCATTTGCGCAGCACTGCGCCAACTCCTAAAAATTCACTGAGTTACGCAGACCTACAACAGTGAATGCAATTTAAGCCACAAGTTCTCAGAAAATCGTTGTTAGTTTCGGGTGGTTGACGTGAAGGATTATTTAAAGAAAATGAATGAAAACATATCAAAACATTCTGTATTAGAAAGGCATATAAAAGTTGACGATAATTGGAACAATCGTTGCAAACTGCTCCAGTTAGAAGCTCAACTCAACTAGATAAAGTTGTATTGAAAATAGTGGAAAAATACTGGTGAGCTGCAAGGAATTTTTCAAAGAAACAGGAGAACCTTAGTTGGATGTATAAAAACGCGGAAGCAAAATAAAGCTGAATTTGCAACGTTTATAACTCGCTAAAGTTGAATAAACTTAAACCGGCGTGAAGAGCTTTATGGCAACAATCTTCTTCCAATCTAATCAGGTTTAGGAGAAAAAATAAGGAAAAACAACTTTTCAACGATTGTTAACAATGTTCCATGGAACTTATTTTGATTGAGCATTCTCCGATGCTTTTTTTTAAGGCTTTATACAAAGTTTCTCACCCCTGAAAAGGAAAACAAAATTTGGTCATTGTTATCGTATCTACGAAGAAACGCATAAAATTCAAAGAAAATTTATTAGAAGTACTTTTATCAACTTGTGAACCTCAAGCGCCTCAAAAACACTTTTTACTGATTCGATGTTAATTTTATATCGACTACTTAGAGAAGTTTATTTAATGTGATTTTTAGTGATGTTTTCGCACATTTAAAAACTTGAAATATGACTTCTATGGACACTTTTGGAGTCACTAATAAACAATTATATCAAAATGCTCAAAAACCATGAAATTTTCTTGTATAACATTTGCATTTTTTTTTCTAAAGCTGCTCTTGACATTTTTTGCTCTGGGCTTTTAAAATGTTACTGACGGATTTTTGCAGCAACTTTCATTCAACACTAAGGAAACGTTATTTGAGCATGCATGCATGGGAACATGTTTTAACACCCGACAAATATTTTAGGTTTTTTGGCCAACAAATATTTTAGTTTTTGCAAAAAAGCGAATACAATTCTTACCTCGCAAAACTCGAAACAATACTAAACAAAATTGTACAACACTGGTCCACAACTTATTCCATCAAAGTCACTTGGCACAAAACTATCCAAAATTGAAGACTGGTGACTTCTTCATGTTGCTTCTTGGACTATTCCAGCTTCATGCTCTTCGGGTCTCTAACTATTCCGGAGCGCTCGAGTACTCAAGTGAAGAAAAACCAGCGAAGAAATATAGAGCAGCAATCGCTAGCCGATGATCTTAACCGAGAACGAAACTTCAAGTGAACAGTTTTTTGCCCGCTACTTGATTCTTCGGCATTTCTTCTTCCGTTTGTTGTAGTTTTCGCAGCGATTCCGGTCACCGCCCATCAAACTGAAGAAAACGTTTCTGCAATAAAAACCTGCTTCTGACTCAGGCTGTTCAACGTTAATGTTGCGTGTTTCTTGCTTGTTCAACTGCGGCCTTCCACGAGGAAAACTCGTCAGTTATTCCCATTCTTCGTAACTCTTCAGTAGATATGCTATGGTAAAACTACCACTCAATGGTAGAACTTGCGGGTCCGCTGCAGGGATCGTAACTAGGTCGCATATTGAATGTAAGTCTTTGGGCTAATGACATCGCCAAGATAATACGGTTATTAAAAACATTAATGCTGAGGAATTTTGAATGAAATACTATCTGGAACTGCGTTCCAAAAGGAGGCAAACAAAAGTGAATTTCCACATCAAATGCATTTTTACATAACAACAATCTTATCAATTACGTGGCCGTTGCAGTGCCATGTTTGGCAAAACAATGCGGGTTTTATTTCTAGATGCATTTTCTTGGTGAACACCTTTCTCCTATTAGCACCAAACAGCCTGCTGATCGAACACACATCATGGTGAGAAAGTCTCACGGTTGAAGTGCATATGTACGAGTAATAGTATTGTACATTTCCTTTCGCGGATGGCTTTTTTATGTAGATTTGCAGGTTTAGATGTAAAGTTTGATCAGCAAAAAGGTGCGAAAAGCGGCCCACAGTGGTCGATTTTCAATTTTCTTCAGTTGTTCTTAGTTCGAGAATTATTTTTCGCCACAGCCCAAAAGCCGGAAAAATTCACCAAGTTGAAAACTGAAAGCAAATAAATAAATCAGGATTGTCATTGATTAAATTTTAATCATCGTCTTTGGAATTTCTCAAAGTCTGAACAATATTTTGAGAGTAAGTTCCCTTGGAAAACCAAACATTTATAGATGATTTCAAGTGGTTTTCAAATTTGGCACTGGACAAATTTTTAATTGCCAATTGCAGAGAGCGTTACTATTTTTAGGAAGCACATTTTGCTGATTTTGTGATGTCCAGAGAGGCTGGAATAAGCCGATGTTGATCAAACAGCTGACTTTATTTTATTGCCCATTTATCTAGAGAGAAAGATCTAAATTCCTCGACTTGAATTCAGAAGAAAACGTGTGAATGGTGCTTTTTTTAAATTGTATTTGCCGTTTATTTTCGTATTATATTCAACCCTAAACCCGGTTAAATTGTTATTCTCTTCTACTACGAGTGAAGAAAGCAATATCCGGCCGGCTAATCCGTGACAGCATATTTAGCTTCAATTTATATGCATAGTTTGCATGCCTTTTAGCATCTAATCGATGCCTTTATATGGACCCGCACTGGCAGATTGAAGAACTAAATCGGTGCCAAAAGTGTGTCTTCAAAACATCGAATGCAAACAATTCAGGTTGGCTTTTAATTAAACTGCGCGTTCATAAATGTTAAGTTAAAGTCGAGTCTGCATATGAATCAAATTTTTCACATTTCCAAGCTGATTCAGGTGAAAATGTGTAGGGATATTTGAGTAACTTTTAATTAAAAAATCGTGAACTTTAAAACACGATTTACAATAATTTTTCTATGCTAATTTCAATTAATTGCATTGTATTGTTAAATAAACAACCAAACACTTGCAACACGCAACAAAATTCTGATCCAAATTGAACCGCATAATAAATATTTCAAACTTCTAAGGATTTGTTAATCTCGAAAGCGACTAGAACAAGAAAAATAAGCTAATGTGGGTTTGAACGATGTGTTAAATAGCGTTCGACAGCAGAACGTGGCTTTCAGCGTGCGTTTAAAAATAATGTATGCATTTTATTTTAAGACATACAAACAGAGAAAATTGCGTCAATTTTTCAAATCAATTTTAAAATAAATCCTTGGAAATCCGTTTTTTACGGTCTTCAGAAAAATACTGCTGAGTCTTTTACCGATCTGCTTTCTTCTTCCCCTTTTCATAGCTACTTCATATAATATTTCTCGTTATTCCAATCAAATTTTAGAGTCCAAAAGTTTTCCATCTTAAAGTATGGTTAAAATTAACACACTTTGGCAGAAAAATGTGTTTTCTGTGCAAACACTCGTTTATTTTTGTTGTTCCAGTAATCGCTCTAGTGTATAAACCGAACTGCGTAAGTTGGAGAAACAATGTCCGCACTCAATCGACAACTTGGCAGTTATTTTCAGGCTTAAGTAATGGGAACATTTCGGATTTTTACTTAAATAATTTAAATGTATATTTGAACATTTCCAACACTTCCATTCCCAACAGCTAACAAGCTTTTGCTTTAACTAATTGAAATAAAAAATTAGCTCGCAATTGTTTGTAAATTTTTACCAAGAAAATTAATATGATAATGTAATAATCACGGAAGAATTGCTGTATATTTGAAGAAAAAAAATAAAAATTGATTTGGCAAGTACAGTAGATATTCAGGTATTTTTGGCATCACCAATCGAACTCATTGCCCTAATAAAACGCTTCGAGAGCCTTGCCCAACCAACTAGTGTTTGAACGGCGTCAATAAGTTTGCAAAATCCAAAGTGAAAAAAAAACAGCCAGTAGTGTGTACAGGCATTGACGATTCTAAAATTAAAGCGTCGAACGCTGCAGATTTGAATTTTCTCACCTAGAGGCTTTCAGTGTGTTTTGTTGTCGGTTAAATAAGCATCGTTCCAATTTTCGTGAAAAGTCAGCTTTTTCTCGCGAGTTTTTTTAAAATCTTCATTTGATTTTTCATCCGAAACCCAGCTTTGGCTTTCACAAGTGAAAAAAGTGCATTCGGGTAGCTGGAGTGAATTCAGGTGAACCTTGATGTTGCTATTTTGATGGGTTTTAGTTGTTTTCCATCTGTGAGTCTTCATAGAAGTTTCAACCGCGAGATTTTCCTGGACATTTTTAATGCGACCCAAAATATTTGTAAAAAGCATCACATTAAGCGCTTTTGCCTATTAGTGCGTTGCAGACTTTCCTGCAGTGATCGCGGCCCAGGAAACTTGTTTTGAAATTCCTTATTGTGTTTCTCCACTTTGCAGGATTTTCGGTAGATTTGAAAGTCTATCATTTTGCAAAAAATTTGAAATTTTCTGTTAAATTCGAGTCATTCGTTCAATCCGCACTTAATTGGCCCGTTATCCAACTTTTCCTCAAGTCGTCCTAAATCTCAATTTGATGACCAGTTATAAATCAACTCTAATTTTAATATTTAGATTTTCATAAAATGGGCCAGATGGGATTCAACGACTCAGTTTAAAAACTTGTGTGTAAACCACTTGGTTTTTAAGTTCCTTCAACTAATCGAAATATTTTTTTTCATTCCATACAGCCATTAGATCATTGAGGATTTTAGAATTGTAGTAAAGGCATTTGAAACAAAGCTTTTATTTTTATGTAATTTTTTTTTCGCTTAATGAAACAATAGACTTAACAATCAACACTTAGAGCTGATTTTTTAAATAAAATAAACATTTAAACTGGTGAGTTTTTCGAGCTTTTAGGGCTTTTTTTGTGGCAAATAACTTATTCCTCACGTTTCCCAAGCGCGAGTTGCCTGCATCTTCAGAGGTGGTGTGCTCGACGCAGCTCCACTTTTCTTCGACGGCATAAAAACCCGAAAAACTCAGCAGTCAAGCAATTGGAGCGAAACTCCAAGCATTTAAAAAAATTTTGATACATCTTACGATGGATTAATGCAATAATTTTAGTGCATTTTGCATTTACGTTTTACAATGTTCCGGTCTTGATTGAAGCTCCCGAAATGCAAAACTTCAAAGTGAAAGATTTAATCCGAAAATAGCTGATCATGACATAATTGCGCTCACATTATATTAATTTGAGCGTATTACAGGCGAGATTTAAAGCGGCATTTGCGAACATCCAAGTGAATTCATGAAATTATAAACAGCTTCATAAAGATTGAGCGTGAAACATGAGCAGTTCCGAATCTTACTTTTACTGGCACTTTGTTCCATATAACTTGCATAGTTAATATGCATAAACAAAAATAATTAAGTGCGAAATTAAAGTGAAAAACTACAGCTTTAAGCAAAGTAGCGTTTATTTCCTTTGAGCAATTGAATTTATGTATGACTTTACATAAGTAAATATATAAAAGTGTTGTGAAACTGAAAGCGTTAAAATCCGCTAATAACAATACCGTCGTAAAACTGAAATGCGATAAAGCCAACAAGTTGTTTCGCACAAAACACACCGAGTGTTTGAAGAAAATCTTCGATGTTTTCTCTTGTTGCAGGAGGCCATCAAAATGCGGATGTCTTAATACGGTACAGGACGTAAATAATTGCGTGACTTCATCTTCTCAGTTGCACATCCAGAATGAAGAGGAGTTGATGACAATCAGTGGTTTAGCAATTTGGTCAACGTAAGTAACTGGTTTAGTAAATTTCTACTATATGAGTAAACATATACAAGCGCATGATGAAAATAGTAGTTCGGAATTTATTGGCTCAAAAAAAAGACGATTTGCACTAAAGTTGCTTTTGCAGCGACTATAAAGGAGAATGCTAAGATGCTTGCATGCGACTTTCAAAGATATGGGACCAAAATTGATTGAATTTACACGTTAACATACAGTACGACTTTGTGATTAATACAATTAAATTCATTACATTTTCCATTGAAATCCAAGCGAAATTACCCAGCTGTTCTACCCTTAAAAACTTGACCGACCGAAGAGGGTGACACCCTTCGCTTTAAACCGCAATGCGATCAATGTCCAATACAGTCTAATAATTTGGACAGCAAAAATAATCTGACCCAGAAGGGCCCGATTAAAATGGCGCCCCTAAATGGCATCAAATGCGGCATTTCTCAAATAAATCGTGCCGATTTTTCTTCACATTTTTACGTGTAATGGAATTTAGAATATTTTTTTGCGTTGTACCTGTTCCTAGGAAATTATGCTTTCTCAATATGTAGGCTCCAATCATTTGAATTCTGGGACATCTGATTACGGTAATAAAATGTTTGGATTAATTAATTCATTAATTTGCACATATCTAGCAAGTCATCTGAAAGTAGAATCAGTGGCAGGCAATGCGAGATGAATTTAGATTTTTTAGGTGTTTAATTTGATGAGGAATGAAGAGAAGGACAAAATTTGCGAAAACACTCTTTTTTGTTTTTAGTTGTTTTTTGAGTAGAGAGTATTAGCAGACCAAATGGACTCAGTTAATATATGAGTTTTTGTTTGCCATGAAAGAAAATATCATCTTTCCGTGCGTAAATAATTAAAAATGGCCCTTTAAGCCCATTTTACCTTGACGTCCCCTACTGGGTTTTAAAGCCACTTCACTGGGGCCTCCGCCCAAGGCAACTGAATGGGACAAACGCGGGATTTTTGGATAGTTTGTAAGGTTTAACTGACAAAAAAACGCCAAAAATGTTTTTTTACAGTTTTTTTCCCACTAGTTTTGGTAGAGAATCGCAAAGTTTACCGTTGGGTGTAGATGGGGATTCGGGAGATTTTCACAAGAGTCCCGTTTTTCGATTGGAGGCTCTGTTTCGACAGAATTCGCCAATTGCACTAGCTTCCCCTACAGGTTTTTTTTGCCAAAATCATTAGATTTTGCCTCCAAGCGTTGAAAGGCTTTGAAAAAGGTTTGGAACAAAAGCGTGCAAATTTAAGGAGTTTTTATTTGACAAGGTTTATGGGCAGAAAGAAGTTTTTTGCATTTTTTTCTCATATTTTCATTTTTAATAAGCTGGCGCTTTTCTGTTGTATCATGTCAATGTACTTTGAAGTGCCCGAGAGTTTTTCGCGAGTGAACTTTTTTGATTAGAAGCCTAGTTTAGGATAAAACAGCAAACAACTGAAACAAATTGTGTAGTTTTTTGAAGTTTTTCCTTTAACATCTAATATTAGAGAGTCGCTACTTTTGCTATTCTATGCAATTTTGCTTTTAGGAAAGTTTTCGAAGAATTAGTTTTTTCGATTTGAAGCTTCATTTCGGAGAAAATAGCAAAAAACTCACCGAAATTGCAAATAGCACTTGCTTCCCCTTAAAATTTTCTTGCAAAGCAACTTCAAAAATTTCCGAAAACTTTGAAAGAGCGTGAAAATTGTGTGGCTGTGACTAAACTTGAGTTAAAATTTTGTAGTTTTAGAAGGATTTTCAGTGGTAAAACCTCCAAAAACCATTTTTTGTAGTTTTTTTTTAACATCTAATTTAGAGAGTCGGTTCTTTTGGTGTTCGATGCAATTTTGCGTTTAGAAAAGTTTACCAAAAATGCCTTTTTTCGATTGGAGGCTTTATTTCGGAGAAAACAGCAAAAAACTGACTAAAATGGAAAGTGCACTCGCTTCCCCTTGGGATTTTTTTGGAAAATAACTTCGAAATTTGCGGAAACTTTCAAGCAGCAAAAATTGTTGCTGTCACTGAACTTGAGTTATTATTTTGTAGTTTTGGAAGGTTTTTGAATAGAGAAACTTGCAGAATCATTTTTTCAAAAATTTAAAAAAAAATACTTCAATATTTGCGGAAGCTTTCAAAAAATTGTGTAGTTTTGGAAGGTTTTTCAATGGAAAAAACTTGCTAAAACCATTTCCTGTAGTTTTTTCTTTAACCTCTATTCTTAGAAAGCCGCCACTCTTGCTTTTCTATACAATTTTCCGTTTAGGAAAAGTTTCCAAGAATTACTTTAATAGATTGGAGGTTTTATTTCGGAGAAAACAGCAAAAAACTGACTAAAATGCAAATTGCACTCGCTTTTCCTTAGGATTTTTTTTGGAAAATAACTTCAAAATTGGCGGAAACTTTCAAGGGGCAAAAATTATTGCTGTCACTGAACTTGAGTTAAAATTTTGTAGTTTTGAAAGGTTTTTGAGCAGAAAAACTTGCAAAACCATTTTATCGAAAATTGACAATTTGACGAAATTGAGCCACACTGTATATGTGCAAATTGCTATCGCTTCCCCTTAAGATTTTTTTGCAAAAATACTTCAATATTTGCGGAAGCTTTCAAAAAATTGTGCAGTTTTGGAAGGTTTTTCAATGGAAAAACTTGCGAAAACCATTTCTTGTAGTTTTTTCTTTGGCCTCTATTCTTAGAAAGTCGCCACTCTTGGTATTCTATGCAATTTTCGGTTTTGAAAGTTTTCGAAGAATTAGTTGTTTAGATTGGAGGCTTCATTTCGGAGAAAACAGCAAAAAATTGACTAAAATCTCAAATTGCCCTCGCTTCCCCTTAGGATCTCTTTGGGAACAAACTTCAAAATTTGCGGAAACTTTCAAGGAGCCAAAAAATTGTTGTTACTCAACTTGAGTTAAAATTGCGTAGTTTTGGAAGGTTTTTGAATAGAAAAACTTGCAAAACAATTTTTCGAAAATTGACGAATTTGAGCCACACTGTATATGTGCAAATTGCTCTCGCTTCCCCTTAAG